AGGTGATAGTACTGCTCTGCACAGCACTAGTAAGGCTATACTTGGAATACTGCATCCAGTTCTGGTTAACATGACATACAAAAAATGCTGAGGCCCTAGAAAGAGTGCAGAGAAGAGCAACAAAGATGATAATGGGTCTGGAAGCTAAATAAGTATGCACTGCTAAGGGAAATAATTACGTTTAACCTAATAAAGAAAAGGCTTTAGACATGTTAGCCGTCTTCCAATTTGAGCGGCTATCACAGAGAAGAGACGGTCAATTTATTCTCCAAGCAATTCTCCTGGACAAGGACAAAAAGCAATGGGAAGAAGTTTGTCAGACAGAGATCCAACCTGGAACTTTCCTGACAGTGAAAGCAGTTAGTCAGTGGAACAGCTCACCTCCCAGAGTTGCAGTTGCTTCATTGCTGGAGGTTTGCAAGAAAAGATTGGACAACCATTTGTCTGGGGTGGAATAAGGGCTCCTGCAGCTTTGGATTTACCAGAAGTGCCTTCAGTACCTGCATATGAATGTTCAATTCATGTAAGAAGATCCTCAAAGCTGCCATGCAAAGCTTCTAATGGTCAAAGCAACCCCATGTTTTAAGCAGCCAACTCAGAAAATTGATTTTATAAAATTCTTACTCTAGTGTAATTTGCTAATAAAATATTTGTTGTTGGATAACCTGATACTCATTTAGATCTTAAAGCAGGCGTGTCAAACTGCCGGCTGCAGGCCGGTTGCATCATACAGAGGCCACACCCACCCCAGCTCCGGCAATGCAAAAAAGTTGCGATATGTCGCGACACGTCACATGACATGGCGAGTTTGACAACTGTGTCCTAAAGTGTGTGGCTTGATTTTGACATCAGATTTCCTCTATTTTAAGGGTTTCTTTTAATTTTTTTCCCTACAGTTTGCCATGTGGGTTGATGCCGTTATCTTTGTCTTCAGCCTTGAGGATGAAATTAGCTTCCAGACAGTGTACCACTATTATAGCCATATGGCAAACTGTCGTAATGCTAATGAAATCCCAATGTTACTAGTAGGAACTCAGGGTAAGCAGTAATTTTTACACCATATTTATTTATTGAAAACATTGACTTGCTTCTTTTCTTTATGAAGCTGTATCTTAAGAACAGCATTCATCTTATCACTATTGGTATGTATAAAGCTTTGGAAACCAAGAAATGCTTTAGAATATGTGAAAATGCATACATAGCTCCTCCTTCTGGATAGGCAAAGTAATGGTGTCTTTTTGTAGACTTGCATGGCTCTTTTGAAAGCAGTTCCTGACTACCTTCCCATGTATGTGTATGAATAGCTGCTTTACCTTGCAAATTTCACATATCAATATATTTTCTTTTTCATATCCCTAGCAAATCCATGAATTTGCCTAGCAAATTCTAGCAAATCCATGAATTTCCCTTTGGTAAATATTTTGCAACTGAAATCATTCAATGATAAATGTCTGTTTGGTGAATTTACCATTTGGGGTAGTTGTATTTTATCCACCACAGATTATTACTATATCATTTGCTGATCAGTGAACAAACTAAAGGAACTTAACTTTATATGACCTGAGACCTCATAGAAATAACAGACAATTTGTATAATATACTACACGTATATTACACACGTATGCGCGTACACACACACACAAACACAGACTATACAACCCATGACCCATTGGATCATCGTATCGGAGATATATCTTTACCTAAACAGAACAACAGAATGACCACAGTTTGTCAAAAAGCAGTAAGAGTAGGAGCAAACCTCCAGTTTTCTGTTGGCTTCCCCAAGGAATTTCCTTGTGGGAAGCTTTCAGGGAACACAAACTTTCCTTCCCTCCTCTTCCTTACCACCACATTTGAGTTTATATGTCCTGTCAGCTTAAGTCAGCTTGACTTAATTAAAAAGAAATAGGTGCCACGTGGGTCTTGGAGGGTGCGAAAGGAAGTAGTGAGGGTTGGAAAAGGTGGTGAGAGGTGTGGTGCAGAACAGTAGGGGCTAAGAGTCCGGACAGATCTGTAAAGGTGCCATGTGAATCAAGAAGGGTGCATGGGGATGTTCAAGGGATGCCATGGGAGAAGGGTCCACATGAGTGTGCCGCAGGTCCGGAAGGGTATTTGGCAGTGCATAAGAAGTGCCACTTGGGTTAGGGAAAAGGCACAGAAGTGTGTTCGGTTGCAGGAGTTGTGGCAAGTGGGTCAGGGAGGGGATGTGGGAATTCAGCACAGGTTGGGAAGGGTGTGCGAGGGTGTAGCATGGGTTGGGGATGCATGAGGGGATATGAGTAGTCAGCATGGCATGAATGCAAGGGGTGACAAGACTGTGTGAGTTGTGAGATTTACCGGAGTACCTTGCCAGTTCCTTGCTTGCTTCCCATTGCTGACATCCCTGCAAATCTTCCCATAAGCAAAGACTGTTTGTCAGAAGTTGTCAGGGAAATCACAACCAAGTTTATACTTTTTGTGGCTTTCCCATTGATTTGATCCCACAGGAATCATGGGTCCCAAATTTTGGATGCATTCTTGTAAGTTAGCCCCTTTTAGCTACTTTGCCCTATGAGGTACCATGTCACCTAATTAAAGGTTACAAACTTATATGAGAATTTTAGTATTTTTAGATTTTTAAAAATTGGGTGCTATTTTCAGAAAAATTGTAAAGTCATATTTTTTCTCTAAAAGTCATATTTTTTGTTTAATTGGTCATATTGAAATGATTTTAAGATCATAAATTCTTGCATATTTCTAATATTTTAGGTTATAGAAATCCTCATCCTAGTGATGGTAATGATAGTAGTAGTAGTAACCTGGATTATTTGAGGAACCACTTCTTGATACATCTGCCCATCCCATCAGGTTGGGTATGTTGCAGCTCCTGTTTGCTAAAGATACACCTGGCAGGACCCAGAAGACCAGCCTCTTCTGCCATAGCACCAACCCTGTAGAACACCTCCCCTGAGATGACACTGATCTCATCCTGGATGTTCTATCAGATATCCTCAAAATTGGACTGTGTCAACAAGCATTTTAGTTGCATTCTGGTATATGGGTACTAATTATTGGCCAGATTTGTAAGGCAGCCATTTTGTGAGGTATTTTCAGAATTCCAAATAGCTCCACAAAATAAGAGACATGCTTTAACAACTTTCTAAAACAAAAATGCCTTCTGTTTTCTTTACAGATGCTATAAATTCAAATAATCCTCGTGTCATTGATGATAGTAGAGCACGGAAACTATCCAATGATTTGAAGAGATGTGTCTACTATGAAACTTGTGCTACCTATGGGCTGAATGTGGAGCGAGTCTTTCAGGATGGTAAACTTACTCTTCACTACAACTTGCCCATCTAATTGAAATGTAGTGATAAAAATATAAGAAACTATAACAAGGTTCTAAAGTATACAGTGAATTCAGAAAGTATTCAGACCCTCTTCTCTTTTGTCAATTTTGCTATGTTGCAGCCTGATTCTACAGTTGTTGAAATTATTTTTTTCTCATTAATCTACACTCAGTACCCCATAATGACAAAGTGAAAACAGAATTTATTTTTTTAAAAAACCTGTAAATTTATTTTTTAAAAAAAACCTGAAATATTGTATTTGCATAAATATTCAGACCCTTCACTCAGTCCTTTGTTGAAGCACCTTTGGCAGCAATTACAGCCGCAAGCCTTTTGGGGAATGATGCGACAAGTTTGCACACTTGGATTGGGGGATTTTCTGCAGTTCTTCCTTGCAAATCCTTTCAAGCTCAGTAAGATTGGATGACAACCATCATTGGACAGCCATTTTCAGATCCCTTCAGAGATGTTCAATAGGGTTCAAGTTAGGGCTCTGGCTAGGCCACTCTAGAATATTCACAGAGTTATCCCTAAGCCACTCCTGTGTTGTATTGGCTGTGTGTTTAGGATTGTTGTCATGTTGGAAAGTGAACCTTCGGCCCAGTCTGAGGTCCTGAGTGCTGTGGAACAGGTTTTAATTGAGGATATCAATTCAGCTTTTCCTCAACCCTGACCAGTCTCCCAGTCCCTGCTGCTGAAAAACAGCCCCACAACATGATGCTGCCACCACCATGCTTCACTGTTGGGATGATTTGGGGCAGGTGATGACTGGTGCCTGGTTTCCTCCAGATATAACATTTAGAATTGTGGCCAAACAGTTCAATCTTGGTTTCATCAGACCAGAGAATCTTGTTCCTCACAATCTGAGAGTCCTTCAGGTGCTTTTTTGCAAACTCCAAACAGGTTTTCATGTGTTTTGCAAGAGAAGAGGCTTCTGTTTAGCCACTCTGCCATAATGCCCAGATTGGGCTGCAAGTGATGGTTGTCCTTTTGGAACTCTCTCCCATCCCCACAGAGATGGGAGCTCAGTCAGAAAGACCATTGGGTTCTTCATCACTTCTCTTACTAAGGCTCTTGTCCCCCAATTGTTTAGTTTGACTGGGCAACCAGCTCTTGGAACAGTCCTAGTTGTGCCAAACTTCTTCCATTTGAGAATTATGGAGGCCACTGTGCTCTTAGGAACCTTCAGTGCAGCAGAAATTTTATTGTAGCCTTCCACAGATCTGTGCCTTGTAATAATTGTATCTGAGCTCTGCAGACAGTGCCTTTGACCTCATGGCTTTTGCTCTGCTATAGTATGCCTTGTCATCTGTGAAGGCTTCTATAGAGAGGTGTTTACCTTTTCAAATCATGTCCAATCAATTTAATTTACCACAGGTTGACTCCAATCAAGGTGTAGAAACATATCAGCAACAATCAAGAGAAATGGGTGGCACACAAATTAAATTTCAAGAGTTGTTGCAAAGGGTTATTTCTGGTTTTCAATTTTTGACTGATTACTTCAATTTTTTTTCCAAATGTAATGGATCGGTCAAGGGTTATTTCAAGATATTTTGGGTGGTAGTTGTGTTTTATCCTCTCTCCACAAAAAGCTACATTTAACTCTTTGCTGTCTGATTGCTTAGATGGAAGGCGCATACTTCTGTTTTATTGGGTTAGGGCGTAGCCTCCACTTCTCATAATATTGGCTTAGTGACCTCAGATCCTTAGTAAGAATGTATTCCTGCTTCCTCAAAATCCTTGTTTTGGATAGTTATTGCCATATCATCAGCATAGCAACATTTTTCAGAGTTGGGTTTTGGCAAATCACTAGTATTTCATTTAATAGAGAATATTTTATTGGCTAAATGTGATTGGACACAAGGAATTTGTCTCTGGTATCTAAGCTTTCAGTGTATATACAAACAACAAGGTAATATAATCATAAGCTATCAATAAGAGAAGATAGTAGAAAAGATGAGGATAATAGTAATACAACTATACTACATGGATAAATATCCTTAGACATAAGACTACTATGGGAATTAGGTGTTCAACAAAGTAATGGCATGAGGGAAAAAACTGTCTTTGTGTCTAGTTGTTTTGGCATGCAATGTCCTAATGTCCTGAGGGGAGGAGTTGAAACAGTTTATGTCCAGGATGTGAGGGGTCTGTAGATATTTTCTCAGCCTTCTTTCTGACCTTTGCAGTATACAGTCTGCATATAGACAGGAAGTTGAACAACTGGCCTTGTGATGCAGCCGAAACAATATGGAGCTGAATATGCTTAAAACTATAGAGATGAGAGTGGATTTTAGGAGGAGCCCTCCTATTCTACCACCTCTTACTATATTAGACCACACAGTAAGGCATTTGATAAAGTAGATCACAACCTACTACTTGATAAGATAGAAATATGTTGGTTAGACAGCATCACTACCAGATGGATTCGTAGCTGGCTGACCGTCTGTACTCAGCATGTGGTCCTCAATGGAACCGCATTTACATGGAGGGAAGTGTGTAGTGGGGTGCCCCAGGGCTCTGTTCTGGGCCCAGTGCTCTTCAACATCTTCATCAACGATTTGGATGAGGGATAGATGGGGAACTCATCAAATTTGCAGACGATACCAAGCTGGCAGGAATAGCCAACACTCCAGAAGACAGGCTTAAGATACAGGAGGATCTGGACAGACTTGAACACTGGGCGCTATCTGACAAAATGAAATTCAATGGTGAAAAAAGTAAGGTTCTACATTTAGGCAAGAAAAACCAAATGTACAGATATAGTATAGGGGGTACCTTGCTCAATAGTAGTAACTGTGAGAGGGATCTCGGAGTCCTAGTGGACAATCACTTAAATGAGCCAGCAGTGTGCTGCAGCTGCCAAAAAAGCCAACACAGTGCTAGGCTGCATTAACAGAGGGATAGAATCAAGATCACGTGAAGTATTAATACCATTTTACAATGCCTTGGTAAGGCCATACTAGGATTACTTCATCCAGTTTTGGTCACCACGATGTAAAAAAGATGTTGAGACTCTAGAAAGAGTACAGAGAAGAGCAACAAAGATGATTAGGGGACTGGAGGCTAAAACATATAAGGAACGGTTGCTGGAATTGGGTATGTCTAGTTTAATGAAGAGAAGGACGAGGGGGGACATGATAGCAGTGTTCCAATATCTACAGGGGCTGCCACAAAGAAGAGTGAGTCAAGCTATTCTCCAAAGCACCTGAAGGCAGGACAAGAAGCAACGGATGGAAATTAATCAAGGAGAGAAGCAACCTAGAACTAAGGAGAAATTTCCTGACAGTTAGAACAATTAACCAGGGAACAACCTGCCTCCAGAAGCGGTGAATACTCCAACACTGGAAGTTTTTAAGAAGAGACTGGACAGCCATTTGTCTGAAATGGTATAGGGTTTCTTGCCTGAGCATAGGGTTGGACTAGATGACCTCTAAGGTCCCTTCCAACTTATTATTATTATTATTATTATTATTATTATTATTATTATTATTATTATTATTATTATTATTACTACTACTACTACTATTACTACTACTACTACTACTACTACTACTACTATTGATGTTCAGACTGGATTTGGCATTTTTGTCTTACCTATCAAGTCCTTACCAAGAATCTGGGATAGTCACATGTGGATGTTTGATGGTATTACAGATATCGTCGCAGGATGGAAGCAGTTCCTAGTAAGGCCGCCTTTTGCGATTAACTAATGGCGAATTTGTCAATGCCAATGGTGTTCAGGTGGTGCTACAGTTGTTTTGGGATTGCACCGAAGGCGCCTGTTAGTACTACCATTGCTTGCTTTTGCCACAGTCTTTCTATTTCTATGTAGGTCTTTGTATTTTGTTATCTTCTCCAGTTCTTTCTCGTCTATTCTGCTGTCTCCAGGCACTGCCACGTCCACTATCCAGACTTTTTTGTCTTTCTTATCGACAATTGTTAAGTCTGGGGTGTTATGTTGCAGGTGCTTGTCTGTTTGAATTCTGAAGTCCCAGAGCAGTTTAATTTTATCATTTTGTATGACTTTCTCTATTTTATGATCCCACCAGTTCTTGCTTACAGACAAATGATATTTCTTGCAGATCTTCCAGTGCACCATTGTTGCTACTTTGTCATGCCATTGCTTGTAGTCAATCTGTGCGATCTTCTTGCAGCAGCTTAGCAGGTGGTCCACTGTTTGTTCAGCTTCTTTGCATAGGTGGCACTTACTGTCTGTTGCTGTCTTCTCAATTTTGACTTTATATGCATTTGTCCTTAAGGCTTGGTCTTATGCAGCCAGAATTAGTCCCTCGGTGTCAGAATCCAGTTATATTTCCTTTCTATCTATCTCCTCTGATCTAAAACCAATTCTCACCCTTCCCTGGATTCTGCCATACTCCCAAGGGGAGGGGGGATATGCATGCGGGTTTATTATTTTCACTTTCTCTATTCACTACAAAGTAACCTTTTGTTTATTCGCCTTCGTGTCTGCTAACCTTTACAATGTAACAAATTGCCTCCTATCTTATGCACCCCTCTGAACTTCTCCTCCCTACCTGGCAGCTAGGAAAAAAAGGGGGGGAGAGATACAAACTTCCGGGATCTGGTTTATTTCTCTGTCATCAAAATAAGATGTGAAGAGCTGTGTAATGATCGTGTACAAATGGAGCCGGACTGATGTTATCTTTTCTTTCCCATCGATAGCTTTAACATCTGGGGATTTGCCGGTCTGAACCGCCCAGATGAACTGTTGGATGGGGTTTGCTTAGGGACACTTTAAAATATCGATCTGTAAAGGAATCCCTCAGATCCTGTCTATTATGCCTGCTATCAACTACTCCTAATAAAAGTTTCTGTTGGAAGAAATTGTTTCCAAGAGTTCTGCTTTCTTAAGATGTGGGTTGGCATGGGTCCTTACACTCGGTCTCTTTCTTTTTTCTTTTTAACAATATTTTATTGAGTTTATATACATAAGGAAAAAATCGGAACAATA